GAGGAGAGAGGGAGGGAGGGAGGGAGGGAGGAAGGAAACAAACATGGGGAGAAGCCCAAAGGAAAATCGAGGTGCACCGACCAGAAGGGACATGAATGCTAGGCAAAAACAGCAGGTGGAAGGAGGGTAACAGAAGTAGAGAATGTGAGCCAGAGTTCTTTGAAAAGATAACTAGGAATTAGCCAGGAGAGATGAGAGGGTAGGAAAGAATCCAACATTGAGCAATAGGGGGTTAGAGTGGAAGTTACCGTGATAAAAAAATTTTTTTACTGTACTTAGACTTGCTACTGAGAAGTGGGAGAGGGGCAATTTCTTATATAAATGAGAACTTTTTTTTTTCCTGAGGAGATACTGTATAATAGACATACAACATTAGTTTCAGATGTACATTATATTTGTATATATCCTGACATGATCACCACAATAAGTCTAACATCCGTCACCGTACATAGTTACAGAATTTTTTTTCTTATGATGAGAACTTGTAAGATTTACCTTCACTTAGCAACTTTCCCCTATGCAATACAGCATTAACTATAGATGCCATGCTGTACATTACATCCCCATGACTTATTTATTTTATAACTGGAAGTTTGTACCTTTTGACTCTCTTCACCTATTTCACTCACCTCCAACTCCCCACCTCTGGCAAGCACCACTCTGTTCTCTGTATCTCTAGCTTATTTTTCTTTTTCTTCAAGATTCAACATATAAGTGAGATCATACAGTATTTGCGTTTCTCTGACTTATTTTGCTTAATATAATCCCCTCAGGGTCCATTCATGTTGTCATACATGGCAAGATTTTACTTCTTTTTTATGGCAAAACAAAAAATAAGTGTTGATGAAAATGTGAAGAAAAGGGAACCCTTGTATGTTGTTGGTGGCAATGTAAATTGGTGTAGCCACTATGGGAAACAGTATGGAAGTTCCTCAAAAAATTAAAAATAGTACTCTCATATGATCCAGCAATTCCACTTCTGAATATTTATCCAAAGCAAATGAAAACACCAAGTTGAAGAGGTATATGCACCCCTATGTTCCTTGCTGCATTATTTACAATAGCCAAGATACGGAAGCAACCCAAATGTCCATCAATGGATGAAGGGATGTATATATATATATATATGCAATGGACTATTACTCGGCCATAAAAAAGAATAAGATCTTGCCATTTGCAACAACATAGATGGACCTAGAGGGTATTGTGCTGAGTGAAATAAGTCAGACAGAAAAAGACAAATACCACATGATTTCACAAGATGTGAAGTCTAAAAACAAAGGAAAAAAAAAACACAGCAAGCAAAATAAAACAGACTCATAAATACAGAGAATAAACTGGTAGTTGCCAGAGTGGAGGGGAGTGGCAGGATGGGTGAAGTAGATGAAGGGGATTAAGAGGAACAAACTTCCAGTTATAAAATAAATAACTCATGGGGATGAAAAGTACAGCATACAAAATATAGTCAATATATTGAATAACATTGTATGATGACAGATGATGACTACACTTATTGTGGTAAGTACTGAGTAATATATATTGTAGTGTATACAACATATGTCATATAAATATGTATTATATTTTGTTGTATGTATAGTGAGAATTGTTGAATCGCTGTGTTGTACATCGGAAACTAATATGCTATCATATGTCAACTACACTTCCATAATAAAACAAAAATATTTTTTAAGGTTGTTTTGGTTATTCAGGGACTGTGGTGGTTCCACACAAGTTTTAAGTTTTAGAATTGTTTGCTCTGGTTCTGTGAAAAACGCCACTTGCGTCTTAATAAGGATTGCACTGCATCTACATGTAGATTGCTTTGGCTAGTATGGATTTTAACAATATTCATTTTTCCAATCCATGAGCAGAATATCTTCCCATTTATTCGTGTCTTCTTCAATTTCTTTCATCAATGTCTTAGAGTTTTCAGTGTCTTTCACTTCCTTTGTTAAACTTATTCCTAAATACTTTCTTCTTTTTGATAGAATTGAAAATAGGATTGTTTTCTTAATCTCTTTCTGATAATTTTGTGGGATTTTTTAGTGTTTGTTTTCAGTGCAACAGGTTTCTGTAGATTGATTTTGTACCCTGCAATTTTACTGAATTTATTTATTAGTTCTAACAGGTTTTTGGTGGAGTCTGTAAGGTATTCTATATGTAGTATCATGTCATCTGCAAATAGTGACAGTGTTACTTGCAATTTGAATGCCTTTTATTTCTCTTTCTTACATACTTCTGAAGAGTTTGGCTATTAGAAAAGCAGAGATGGAGGCTGTACTGATCCCAGATCCATTTACTTATGAAAAAACTCTTTATATTTCAGAGTCAAATGAGGAACAAAAGGGTTTTTTACAGACCTGAGTCTCAAACTTCTGTCAAGAACTGACTCCTTTAAACTTTAGGTTGAATTAAAAACCACTTCAGAAGATGTTCCAAAGTCTCCATCTTTCCCTTATTCCACCAGCAATGATTCTTTATTTCCCATTTCTGAACTCTCTATTCATTCCGCCTCTCTTAAACCCAAAGAACATCGATACCCTCCAAAAGAGCATTTCCATATACACGTGTTTCTAGATCCAGTTGAGGCAAATTGTTGATCGTGCCGATCCCGAACCCTTCTCCTAAGGATTGTCTTAGACTACTTCACTTTTAAAAATAGTTCAGTATAACTTATACGTGCCCCTATTCTAAGTGGATTGCCTTCAGTGGGTGGAGACAAGTTGTCTCTGATATGCCATTCTAGGGTTCTGTGGCCCATGATGGTATAGGCCCACCACAGCCATGTCCAGGCCTAGCCTCCTCCCTACAGGTATAGGAAGCTAATTTATGCAATGTCTTCTGAGTGGAAGTCTGTTTAAGGGGCCTCCCTAAATCTCTCAGCGTAGTCACAGTTCAAGTCGCTGGAAAATATCTTTCAGTTTCCATGAAAGCCATGGAATCACGTGATTAGTACCAGTTAGGTTTGAACATTAAAGAGTTTACTCATTAATCAGAGATCTATGTTTGATACACAGTTTTCAGAGGGGATGTTATAATCCTGCAGCTTTAACGTGTTCATGTTATCAAGTGATATAAGAACCCAAAGCCCCAGATTAATACTTGGAAACTGTACTGTCAACCTCAAACACAGTAAGGTAAGCATAATGTGGATTCCTGACTTTGTCTATAAATGTGCAACTATTCCCTCCCCATTGACAGAGCACGGGCTTGGTGGTAATCCATCTATGCCACCTGAACACCTGCACACATGCGCACTCGCACACACACGCATGCGCACTCGCCCAGCTCTCCCGTGTCTGCATGCAGGCATTTACAAGATGCCCAGCTGAATGTAGCCGGTGACTGTGGGATACAGCAAAGGTAACCATCCCTGCTGATAATTGATTTTTACCCTGAGGGTAGCAGTTTAGATGGAGAGAAATGGGCAAATACAGGATAAATCATCTTTTTGAGGTCAAGTCTTTTTGAGGTCAGACTAGGTCTGTCTCGCATCACACATGTGTTGAAACCAAACTCATGAAAGAGTACCTAAGGAAGGAAAAGAAAAATAAACGGCCACTTACCAAGTGCATTTTCCAGATAACAGTGTTTCAATATTGATGAAGGTTTAGAATTTAGGATGATTCTATGTTATTGAATCCCTTAGCATTCTCCCCCGTCCCTGAAATCTTTCAAAATCCTTCTAGTTTTTCAGGACATCAAAAGCCAAAGCAGCACAAGTTACTCTTGGTATAAATGCTGAAAAGTGTCTCCTATTACTTGAAAGAATACAAAGGATTTAGACTTCCACATGTAAAATGATCATGGCCTCTTTTCTAGGCTTTTGGGCGTATAACTTTCATAAGTCAGTTGGCCCATCAGAGTAATTAAATTAAAGAGAACAGTTTTTAGAATGGAATATACTGTCCTCTGAGTTTTGGTGAAGTTTTATCATATGCATTTGAGTAGCCTAGAATAAAAGGCTATATTGCATATTTCACATATTGTTTACCCACCATTTCCACTCCAGTCCTGCTTCTAGCCTTTGGAAGTCAGTGTCTCCAGTACCCTGTTGCCATATATTCCTTCACTTTCTGATCACATAACCCTCTACTTATAACTCTGCAGCATCCCCACATTCATTTTCTATATCAAGACAAACCTCATGGCCTTCTGTTAAGAAAGCCTGCTCAGGGGGCGCCTGGGTGGCTCAGTCAGTTGAGTGTCCGACTTCGGCTCAGGTCATAATCTCACGACTTCAGCTCAGGTCACAATCTCACGGCTTCGGCTCAGGTTATGATCTCACGGCTCATGAGTTCGAGCCCCACGTCAGGCTCTGTGCTGACAGCTCAGAGCCTGGAGTCTGCTTCGGATTCTGTGTCCCTCTCTTGCTGTGCCCCTCCCTCACTCATGCTCTCTCTTTCTCTCAAGAATAAATAAAACATTAAAGAAAAATTTTTTTAAAGCCTGCTCAAGGCTGGCTTTCATCAATGTCTGATATCCCTGTTCGCCATTTTACCTGTTCTCTGCCCTTCCATGTGGAAACCATCCTTTATACGAGCTCAAAAGGCTGTTTCATTGACCTTTTCTTCTAAATCCCCTAAGCTCTCTAATGCATGTGTGGGTATAGGTTTGGATGAAAGAGTACTCAAAATGTACACAGTGTGTTGTGAAACATATTGGTATTTTATTAATTGTATTCCAGGTAAACACATTGAACTGAACCGCAAGTGACCTTGCTATTGAAGTTAGATAGAAACTCCTACCGCATCGGACTTCCGGGGTTTGGTACAATCATTTGTCTTGATGGCCTCATGTATGCAGTCGCTATAGTCAGTATTACACTTGCCACATTTACAGCTTACAGCTACCGGGTAGGAGAAATAGGGAGTAACATGGTGTGGGCATCCTGGTATTTCTACAGTCTTGTACAGGAAGTCTCTGTAGGTGCAAACATCTTGGGACAGAGCATATTTGGGAAGAAACAGTTTGCCATTGATATCCTGAGGGAAGAACAGAAGAGGAAGCAAAATGTTAATTCGCTTACATCCCATAGATACAAATAGGACTGGGGGAGGATTCCTTAGTCCCATTCCCCAATACCGATTCAGCATATCCACACTGAATCCTATAGAGACAAAAATGACATACACACACACCTCTTTTATCCTTGATCGTGGGAACAAGATAAGGTTTAAATAAATTTTGGGAGTAAAACTATTGTAAAAATTATCTGTACCAACTGTATGGAGTAGGTCCGTATATTATAACCTAGGGACTCTACCTCTAAGGAGCCAATGACCGTTAGGTCTGCGAAATGAGGTTGTGATTTATCTCATTTCCTTTCTGAATAGAAATGGACTGAGTCTAGGTTTATCTAATTTTCAGCTAAAAGAAGTGAGATGAACTACATACCCGTGTCATACAATATCCAGCACAGATGGTGGTGTTGATGGTTAGGCAATAAGCACACTCTTTCCTTTCGACATGCATCATATACTCAGTTGGAAAACAAAAAGACATCACTTGTCCACATGCCAGGCCAAAAAGCACGGACATCACGTAGATTGCAGTCATGCTAAATCAAAGACAAAATTAAAGAATCTATTATATGAATCCTTTAGGACATTCAGAAGGGACATTTAGAAAGAGCTACAGTGCGTGTGCATATGTGTGTGCATGTGTGTGTGTGTGTGTGTAAATATATATATTTATCGAATGCCTACTTTGTCCTAGGCCCTATATTAGGTGTTTTTACATACTTCGTACTCTCAATAACCTTTCTTTATAATGTGGCCATGAGCCATATACGTCATAGTGTAGGAACTCACATAGCAAATGTCCTGCTCGCAAGTGCCACTTAACAACACTGGGCAGTGAAATGGAAAGCCTGAAACATCACAACAGAAAAGTGACAGACACATAAGGTCAACTCAGCGCAAAACAATTCATTCAGTAGAAACAGTTTAAATACCTGCCTCTAATTATAGGAAGTGACTTAACAAGCCTCAGTAGGGGCTTTTCAAAACAGGAGTTTTCTAAAATCTTTGGTTCGATAGTTTAAAAGGCCAACAGACTAGTCGTAATTAGAAAGCATATAGAAACCAAGAAAATGTATAATCAAACTGTAGTGCCATCTCAGTGCAAATAAGCTTGTATACAATTCTATCCAATGTCTGTCAAGGAAGATGAAGCTAGAGAAAGCCTAGAATGGGCCAACTATTCTAGTGTTATTCTAACCGGTGTTAAAGGGTTAACCCAGAAATCTAGAACCCCCCCCCCCTTTTCCAACCCTGAGAATATTCTCTGATGGTTGAAAGAAGTGGAGTTGGACAAATAAAAGTTATTTTACTAAGAAAATGTATGGAGCGCACTATCTTAAAACAAATTATAGAAACAAAAAATATAGGTTGACATAGTGAGAGTAATACCATTCAAGGACAGATCTACTGTGGGTTAGCCGGGAAAATAAAATGAGGTTTGACTACCTGGAAGATAACAGAGGGTCCACTGTGCCTCAAGTAGAAGGAGAATATGTATCTCAATAGAACCTGTTTAATGGAGAGTCTGTTCAATATTGATGGGTCATTCTAAGCAGATGGATAATATTATTATGACTTATAGCAGATAAATTAGATAAACATATACTGAGCATTTGAACGATGAGAAATACAAAATGGATAAGCTATGGTCCATGACTTCAAGGGCTAACAGTCTAAGGAGAGAAGTATGAACACTAATAATAAAAGCATTGTTCTAAGTGCTCTGAAAGAGTCCAAATCATGACTCCAAGATACAAAATTATATAAAACGTCTTCTGTATAAACAAGGAAGTGAAGTAACCCATTTAAAAGGGTTTTCTGGTTAACTCTTTTGGATAAAATGTTGCATATTCAAATATTCTTTGGAATTTTTTGGTATTTCAGTTAAGGAGTGAAAATATAAGAATTTCTGGCTCATGGGTCTGGTTTTCTCAAGTGCTTCACAAATGTGAGCTCCATCTATGGTAGAGAATTGGTTCCATTATTTTAAAACCACAGATTTAGAGGATTCTCTAAGAATGATATAAAATATTCAGCCATCATGATCATATGGTTCTTGCCTGTCTAGCCAACTACTGGGTTTTTGCATAAAAAATAATTAACTCGGATATTTTAACTATTAGCTCTGTCTGTGATTCTATATAAAATAGATCTGTGGTGATCTGGTGAGAATATTGGTCCTGGAGTTAGGAAACAGAATGCTATTTCAAGATCTCCCATAGATCTATGAGAAATTGACTAAAATATTTAATCCATCTGGGCCTTATTTTCTCATCTGGAAAACATAAAGAGACAAGTAAACCTAACCATTTTTTTTTAATTGTAGGATAAAACACTGTTTTAGAACTTTTACCCACTGTTGCCATATTCATTATGGATACTGTATATGTTTTGAGAGTTCCTCTTATAAATGTAAAACTCTGAACTAACAAAAGGAAAAATTAAAAGTGCTGAGTTACTGGGTGGCTCAGTCGGTTAAGCATCAGACTTCATTCAGCTCAGGCCGTGATCTCATGGTTCCTGAGTTCGAGCCCTACGTCTGACTCTCTCCTGTCAGCACAGGGCCCACTTTGGATTCTCTGTCCCCTTCTCTCTGCACCTCCCCCATTTGCATTCCTTCTCTCTCAAAAATGAATAAAAACATTTTTAGGGGCTCCTGGGTGGTTCAGTTGGTTAAGTGTCCGACTTCAGCTCGGGTCATGATCTCATGGGTTCATGGGTTCAAGCCCCAGGTCAGGCTCTGCGCTGACAGCGTGGAGCTTGGAACCTACTTCAGATTCTGTTTCCATCTCTCTGCCCCCACCCCCTCCCTCGCTCACATTTTGTCTCTCTCTCTCTCTTGCAAATATAAAATAAAATGAAAACAATTTTTTTAATAAATAATTTTTTTAAGTGCTGAATTACAAGCAATAGTAGCTGTATAATTTTGTGAGTGTAAAAAAAAGTAAGAATTGTTCTCTCCCCTTCATTGCAAATAGTAAAACTTCACCCACAGAATCTTTCTGAGCCTGTTTCTTCATCTATAAAAGGAAGGCTTAGAACTAGAAGATGATCAGGAAGGTCTTTTCAGCACAAATAGATTGTGATTCTATGTGATAAATTAGTGTCAGTTCCCTGAGCTGTAAGAGTTAGTGATCTAGAATTCTGCTTCCAGATTTCATTACAATTATGAGTAACTGAGCAATTTAATATCATTTGCCTTCATTTTTCCACATGCTCCTTCCTAAAAATCATAAAAAGAATAAAACAATATGTGTGAAGCTCTTGGAATGCTATGGAACAAAGACTAATAACTATATAACACTATATAAATCACTATTAGTTAATACCTCCCTATATGATCTGCCATAATTTCTCCTTTATTGTCACCTGGATTCTCATCTCTGCAACTTAAATGCCTCTTTAAAGTCATCATAAGTGATTTATTAAGCACCTAAAAATAGAAGGCATGATTTCAGGTCCTAATAATGAGAGATGCCTCTTTCAGTGGTATGACCATCTGTCTACACTTTCAACATTTTTTCTTACATAAAGTAACTTCTTTCCTTTGCCACTTACCCCACCTTTTTCCTCCCTCCCTCTTTTTTTGCTCTCACTACCTTCATTCTTAATAAACACATTGCTCTCTACTCTGCTAAATTCCTTTGCCTATCTTTTGTCTCCAAATTCCTTACTATGCCATAAAAAAATCAATTGCCCACCCTATGAGCAATCCAGAACTTCACTAAAGCAATATTTTTCTGGAAACCAAAATATACTATAAGGCAGGTGTGTACATTAGACACTATCCAAAGTGAATTTACTGTAAGTTTTCCCAGAAGTATATGATCATCAAACATAACCATTAGTAATTGACAGGATCTAATACACTGATAAAAATGTTTAAATCAAAATGTAACTAGAGAAAGCCATGAACATCAATCAGCCTTCATTAGAGAACTGACCAGTTGTTCCTCTTACTTTAAGTCAATGTAGTTTTTCATATCTTTATATGTCATTCACTCACCTCCACCACCTTTGAACAATTTTGGAGCAGTAATTAGAATTCTTGGAGTCTATTGAAGCAAATTATCACTTAGCACTTGCCATTTTTGAGTATTGGCTAAAATCATGAAAATGAAGAAAGAATTCAAGTAAGAACATTTCATTTCACAAAGCCTTTTCAGTGTAGACACCTACCTTACTTTGCATTGGTGAGCTGACGGTATAATGACCCAGACTAAAAGCTCTTGGTTCATTTTATACCCTTCAGGATAATTCCTCTCTGATCTTCTTGTTTATATAATTGCGTTTGAATTACTGCTTTCTTATCTGAAAAAACATCTATTGAAAATTCATACTGAACCCCAAATAAAATGTGTTTAGACAAACAATTTCACAACATATTCCCCTGGAAACTCTGACATTATTGCAGCATGAATTTTCCTCTCTCCAATTTCAAAATAAAATTACCCTTTTAAATACATCCTTTATTAATATTTATTAATATTAACAAAGGATACACACAGAAGGAGAAAAAACATAACAAAAAAAAACCCCTCAACATCATCTAAATAAATCTTGGGAATAAATTTATTGGGGGCTTGAGTGTCCCAAATTTTGCCTGAATGCTCCTTTACAGATAATAGAAAATTTTGCTCATCTACAAAACAAAGGCACCTTTTTTATGGAAATCCAGAGCAATTCGCATATGTGTTGTGGATTCAAAGAAAAAAAAATTTAATTAGTTAAAATATTTTAGTTCAAAATATTTTATTGTTCTATCTTTGGATTTGAAAAAATAATAAACAAAATTTACATGTGTGAAAGAATAGTCATTTAAGTAAATGACCAAATCTGACAAGATGTCAAACTGATCTGAGATCAAATCCTGACTCTGCCATTTACTATGACATTAGCATGCTTGAGCTTTAGTTGTTTCATCACATACTTAAAGGTAGTATCAGTGTTTATGTAAAGCACTTAACACAGTATCTGCCATATAATAAGTGCTCGATAAATGATAGCTAACTTATGATAATTCAATACTCACTTGTTTAATAACTATTTAGTCAGAATGCCTGGTATATAGCAGGCAGTCGTTATATGTGTTTAATGTATAAATGGCTGAGGAAGGGCATGAAAAAATAATTATTGAATTTTTGTTTTTTTTTATTTTTTTTTAAATTTTTTTTTCAACTTTTTTTTTTTGGGGTGGGGGGACAGAGAGAGACAGAGCATGAACGGGGTAGGGGCAGAGAGAGAGGGAGACACAGAATCGGAAACAGGCTCCAGGCTCCAAGCCATCAGCCCAGAGCCTGACGCGGGGCTCGAACTCACAGACCGCGAGATCGTGACCTGGCTGAAGTCGGACGCTTAACCGACTGCGCCACCCAGGCACCCCAGGCATATGAATCAGAAAAGAAGCAGGAAAATTATCTGTTTGCAGATGACATAATCTAATGTATGGAAAATTCTAAAGGCTCCACCAAAAAAACATTACAACTAATAAATGAATTCAGTAAATTTGCAGGATATAAAATCATTATACAAAAG